CCTAGAGGCAGCGACAGGCCCGAGCACCCACCTAAAGGCAGCGACAGGCCCGTGCACCCACCTAGAGGCAGCGACAGGCCCGAGCACCCACCTAGAGGCAGCGACAGGCCCGAGCACCCACCTGGAAGCACTGGTGTGCCTGCCAGCTCTGCATCACACCCTCCATGCCTGCCAAAGTGTCAGTCACACCCTCAGCCACATGGAGCTCCTGCGGAGAAACACGAGGCTGTTTCATACTCCTGAATGGTTTAATTGCACCTTTCCATAACACCAGATGAGACAGCTGCACTCTCAAGAGATGTTGGCAATTACTCAGCAGAATGCAGGTGTGGTGACTTCTGTGTTGTCAACCACATAATAAAAACCTCATAGGAGAACAAAACTAACTGCCTTAATAGACTCATAGCTTACCAATTTGCCTTTTGCTAAATCCTTTCCTTCCACTAAAAGGACAGAAGAATTCCCAACGATCCCCACGTGTTTCTCCATCTGGATGGTGCCAGTCAGAGAGACGGTGGCATTATGCCATTCTGAGCTGGCTTTTCACCACAGTCCACCATGTGAACCAGTAACAGGCAGTAAACAGCGTCTCAGGCAAACAAACACTGAGAACATGTGCTTGCTGAAATGATGACACTCCACAACGGGAACAAAGAGCCACAACAGGTCATAATAGTTTCCATAACGACTGTTAGCCAAGATGCGTGCCGGAAGCGCCCCCTGCCCCCCCCCCCTCACTCATTCAGGCTATGAACATGGACTGCTACAAAATATCCGCCCGCTGCTGTCAATGTCCGCCTGTGAGCCACAGCAGAAGGAGACGTTTACAAAGAATTACACTGAAAGCTACACATGTAGTCACACCTTATGTGGGCATGATGTCAGAAAGTCAGACCCTGAGCATCTGACGTCCACTTTTGTCTCCTCACCCAAGCAAGTCACTCAGATGAGACTATTGCGATGCAGTACGCAGAGTCCACCTCCCCCACCAGCACCCCCATCCCCCCAGGGCTGTCCAAGGCTGCCAAGGATTCACAGAATCCGTCTGCCCCCCCCCGGTCCAAAATGCCCCTCTGGAAATTCCATTACCGTAATGTAGAAGCTTCAGCAATAGCTGAAGCCCCCAAAAGCTCAGAGAACAAAACAACACATTTGTCTATAAAGGAAATGGAAAGTCAATTGGAAATTAACCGGCAGGCAACTTATGAAAGTTCTGGTAAGATTAAGCAGACGGCACAATCTGCGCAGACGGTATGTAATGTGCTCTGGCGAAAGAGAACAACTCATGCCAGAGCAAGTCCCAGAGAATGAGCGCAGGACATGAACAGGAAAATCTGAGCATCTACCTTGAGAGTAAACACACTGTCTTTACGTTACAGCATTGTAACGGAGCATTTCCGAAACGCTGTAGGATCCCACACTCTCTTAGCATTTGATATCAGAGTCTGTAGTTACTGTTGCCACAAATCCTTTCTGTTTACATCCCATGGGAGCAGAGTGGAACATTTCACTACTGTTATTTACATCATATTATTAAAACAAAGACACATCCAAGGTGAAAGAAAAATCAAGACTAAACAAAGAGCTCTTCTATATAATATTTAGCAAATGAAACCGGCACTGAAACGAGATACCAAGAATCATTACCTTTGGCCAATTTTACAAAGGTGACAGGGTCTCCATTTTGAAGGGTTTTACCGTGAAGCTGTTCTCCTGTTCTGACTCTACAGCCTGCTGTTGACTTTACACAGGATCATAACAGCCCTCTGTCTGTCTCTCTGCGTCTGTCTGTTTGTGTCTCTTGTTCTCTCGGGATGCCTGCTTCAACTAATGGGCCAAACTTGTCCACGCTTGCTAAGAAGGCTTAGCCCTACATTCCTACCCTACAGTCAGCACGCAGATAAGCAGCCTGCAGCTATGAAGAAAAGGAGGAGGACGACAGAAAGGAGGGGAGAGACGAGAGAGAAAGAGACAGAGGTGCAGGGAGACTGAGACAGAAATATGGTAAAATTAGAAAGATTAAAATATGAGCATTTGACCTCTTCAGATGTAAGCCCCCCACAGAGAGCCATTCACTTGCCATTCTGCAGTGGCTGTGATCAGTCTCTAAATCCCAGAACTGGCCTAGAACTTTGCAAGCTGACATACTTGTGTTCCAGCCGATGAACAGAACAAGAAAAGGCTGGGGCTGTTTGCAGGTCGGAAGCTGCAGACGTGGAGAGTTACCTGCCTAGACGGAGACCCTACGAGCCCAAGTGAGGATCTGAGTAAGGACCTGAAAGCATGGCCCTCAGTGACACCATGGCAGCATCCATCCATAATGCTTTCTGCCGCTGCTCTCGCTGCTCCCCTCATTGGTTAGGAGGAGGTCACTAAATAAACCTGCGGCAATAGGAAACCGGATGTCTTCCACACCCATTGATCAAATGACGCAGGAGCTGAAGCCTGCCCCCGGAAAGCATGCCGGATCAACAATCCTCACCACAGGAAGGACAGTCGGGCCATAAACTGCAGCTGCTGGACATTCAGCTCAGGAGAAAGAGCCATATTGCAGAGGAAAGGCACAGGCACAGGCGGAGCGTGGGAATGCGCAGCTCTGCTCCCAACTGGCAGGCCCAGGCCCTCCGCTTTCTGGGGCGCTTAAGGTGGCCATTAACCATTTTAGTGGGTCACCCAAAAAGTGCTGCTGTAGGACCGTCAGGAGCATCGTCACCACAGAGCACGTATCAGTTAGCCCCAACCGTGCAGCGTCACCACAGAGCACGTATCGTTTAGCCCCAACCGTGCAGCATCACCACAGAGCACGTAGCGTTCAGCCCCAACCGTGCAGCGTCACCACAGAGCATGTATCGGTTAGCCCCAACCGTGCAGCGTCACCACAGAGCACGTAACGTTCAGCCCCAACCGTGCAGCGTCACCACAGAGCACATAGCGTTCAGCCCCAACCATGCAGCATCACCAAAGAGTGTGTAGCGATTAGCCCCAACCACATGGTGTCACCACAGAGCATATGTAGCGGTTAGCCGCAACCTTGCAGTGTCACTACAGAGCACATAGCATTTAGCCCCAACCGTGCAGCATAACCTCAGAGCATGTAGCGGTTAGCCCCAACTGTGCAGGATCACCATAAAGCGCGTAGCATTTAGCCCCAACCGCGCAGCATCACCTCAGAGCGCGTAGCGATTAGCCCCAACCGCGTGGTGTCACCACAGAGTATGTAGCGGTTAGCCCCAACTGTGCAAGATCACCATAGAGCGCGTAGCATTTAGCCCCAACCGTGCAGCATAACCTCAGAGCGTGTAGCGATAAACTCAGGAGAAACCATGCATATGTCCTGAAGATTCTAGCGGACAATCCAGTTGGTTTTCTCCCAGAGATGCCGAAGCGAGCCAATGACAGCAGGAAACTAGACGGATGACGATACCATCTGGCATCATAATTATTCCCAATTTTATCTATTGTTTTCCATTATTCTTACATAAAGCTCTATATAGACAAACTTGCCTACGTGTATTTAGATATTCATTTTTGATCGCAATGATAATGTGATCTAAGCATATTTAAAAGGAAAGAAATGTTGAATTTTTAAAATAATTTCCCTTGGGATGATTAAACACCACATGTTGTTGTGACAATTCACATTTTTTATGTGTAGTTAATTATGTGCTGTGACCTTCTGGATAAGATTTTTTTTTTATTTTCCCCAGAACCTCACTGCAACTAAATTAATCAAACCAAGAAAATCAGTCCCACCAGCACAGCCAAGCTGACACCTCACTCGCCAGCAGGAATCTCCCCTTACTGCCTCCTGCCTACAACCAGCATCTAACAAAAGCTTCACATACCCCAAAAAACCACATTAAAGAAAAAAATCCATTTTGGTCACATCCGGTTTGCATCCTGATCCCCTCGCCCACTCCCAATGTGTAAGAGGTTATTCGTCTGGGCTGCTCTTTGGTGACACAAATGCCACAAAGGGCCTTAATGCCGGGTGGGATGGTGCAGTAATCAAGCTCAAAGTCACCTTCCCAGCAGAGGGTCAAGATGGGCCAAAGCAACATCAAAAGTTCCACTTGCATGTACATTTCAGGAGGGAGGCTGAACGGCCGCCCAGGCGGCCAATCAGCGGGGGCAGGGAGGCAGGACAGACACCCGGGCGGCAAATCAGTGGGGGGAGGGAAGCAGAACAGCCGCCCAGACGGCCATTTAGTGAAGGGGGTGGGAAGTAGAACAGCCACCCAGACGGCCATTCAGCACAGGAGGAGGGGTTCAGAACAGCAAAACACGCAGAGGTTTCCTATTTGTTAGCTGGTGTAAGCGAGCTGTTTATACCAGCCTTAGGACAAACAGCTACATCCAATAGGCAATAGGTGATACAATAGTGGTTCAGGATACATTGTAGGGTTAGTGTCACAGTAATATTTCACAAACGGTGCTTGTGGAGCAGCAGCATAACCACATTCTGAAAGCCACAGATATCAGCAGGCATCGCGGGCACTCCAGCCGTTATGGGTGCAATATTCCTCCCGAATATGTGGGCCGACTGTAGCATCCCCCATGAGGGGCTGAACAATCTGGAGGACATCCAGGGGCCTGCAGCCATTGAGCTACTGGGCAGAATGGCAGCGGAAACCTGGGGAGCTGAAGACAGCCGCGCTCATATCGGGCAAGGCAGCGCCAGACACCAAGCAGCTCAACTATCTTTACGTGGAGTCGTGGACTTCCTGTGAGGCTTCTTCCGGTGGGCTGAGGCCTGGCTCAGACAGGCTTCCAGAGATACCAGGAGACCGCAGCTGTCCATATGGGACTAGAAGCACTTCCACAGTCTCCACTTGTCATCCAGGAAATGAGTGAGTGATCCCAGCTGACCAACAATCACACAGCGGAAACTGCAAGCAGCGGACAGTGAGGAGAAGCCTGCCAAGCACAATGAGCTCTCATCGGCTGAGTACGCAGAGTCCTTATTCATCTTACTATTATTTCATGGTGGTGCGCTGCATTTTTATTACACTTGGACGTGTCCTCACCTTATAAAGTAGTACATCTATTTAGAGGTGCACCGATTCCATATTCAGGATCAGTATCAGCACCGATCCAAACCTATTAAACAGATTGGGTATCAGCCACTTGTGACCGATCCACGTCCGATGTTTACTTTCTTAGTTTTCGGTAGCCTTTCAAAAGATAACTCCTATTTCTTGTTAAATCGTTTTGTACAATCAATCGTACAACAGCTCTTTCCCATTTTATATGCGTTAGCTGATCGCTAACACTGCAATTCAGATGATTTGCCACTCAGTGAGTGTGAGCGCAGTGACTTCCGCCTATTGTGACGTCAAAACCCACTAAATAAAGTGCACGCAATTGTGCAAGACAATATAAGTAACATGAAAAAAGCAATAGATGATCTAGGAGTCACTAGGTTGAGCTGTTTTGCACACTGGCTACAGCTTCTGATACACGAGGGGCTGCAATCGCAGTGAAGTGTAAGTGACGCTATTATCAGTGGGAGAAAGTGGGGGGGCATTTTAAGTATTCATCTCTTGTTTATCCTCGCTTGGAACATATTCAAATTACATAACTACAAATGCCTCAAAAATGCTTAAAACAACATGTACAAACAAGGAGGAATAGTACATTATGTATGTTTCTAGTGGCCTAATTACAGAATTTTTGGCATACGTTTTTGTATTTAGTAGTTTAAAAAAAGAGTTTTGGTATGAGATCAGTCCTCACATCGGCCAATACCCTCTGTTCAGGTATACGGATTGTATCGGCATTGGAAAAGTAGAATCGGCGCACCTCTACATCTATTCCTTTAAAAGGAGGACCACGTAAAAGATATTTAATATGGTCAGATGCAGACAAATTAAACTGCACCAATACAGGAGGAGTCCTCTTTCCACACCCCAGTGAAGCCCCATAATCAGGTGGCCCAAAGACAATGTTTCATAGGCACATTTTCCAGGGAAGATATAGGAGGTCATTTCAAAATGAAGAATGTGAGCCCACTGAAGACTACAGCCAGCAGCTGCCCAGGCAAAAGAAACATCTCTCCATCTATAGGAATAATCTATAAGATTTCCGTGGACTATTATTAGTAAATGCAGCAACAATCCTCAAAGAAAAGCAAAGAAACACAACAAACAGCTCCTCTTATCCTGAGAACCTCTGCCTTGGATCTCATACTGAGAGATTGCTCTTTCTCTGGCCTCAAAATGTCCTCATGTCTGCAATACGGAGAACTGTCCAGGTGCCAGTGAGTATGTTTGTGGGGGCGGGAGTACATGTGAACATGATCTTCCACCGGGGGCTGCTCTGATGTTCCATTGACATATTGACTTTTGGCCGTTTGCATCCCAGAGACACAGAATTCCACAGGAATTCCAGCCCAGCCGACACAAAGGCGGCCTTTCAGCATGGGTGATCCCTGCAGAGGAGTGGGGAAAGGGGCTGCCCCCCTCCCCCAGGGAGGGCAGGACCGTGGGCTTGGATCCAAGACACAGTTATGCAAAGCTCCCACCCAAATACTGTGAGACCCAGCAGAGCGGGTTAGGAATTATAGATTTAACCCAAAACTCATATAAAAACAACATCATTACAAGGTGGTTTACAGTGAAGAGGAATGACTACTTTAGTTTGCCCAGATCTAGACCAACAGCAGATATGATTCAGGCTTAATAATCCCAAGCTGAGTGACATACTTAAAATGACATTCAACACCTTCTTGTGTTTCCACAATTGTATTTCTTAGGCAGGATGACCCAGGACGGCCCTGCCACAGTCAGAGCAGCGATCCCAGAGGGAACCTTCCAGCCACTCATTATTCTCCCTGCCGCTTCTCCGTGACACAACTGGGGCACAGGAAAGCGATAATACAGAAAACATTTATTTATTGAAAGAGTGAAACTGCAAAACCAAGAACAGAGCCTCTCATCCAATAGTGGTTCAGCAGCTGACCACGACAGGAACGAGGAGAGCAAACAGGAAGAAGCTGACAGGTGACCCGAGAGTCTCAGCATCCCATTTCACTCATTTTATGTACTCTTTTTGCTTTATAAACATTTGAGCTTATCTGCATCATACATTTCAAGCGAGAGCTCTGATGCCATCTACTGCTGGCTCAGCTCCCTGACCCCTGCGTCCTCGAAATACACACAGCATTCAGTCAAGTAAAAATACGGTAAAACCAGCCACTGCTGCCAATACGGTGGAGCCTTGTGAGATTCAGCCAGCCTGCCAAGTGGGAAACTATCCACCACCAGCTGGGTGGGGGAACAGTTTATCATTAACTTCATGGCAGGAGGTGGAAAGGAAATGACATCACAGAAAAATCGCACTAGCTACTGAAACACATGGACAACACCTGGCTATAGCCGAC